GATCACACGAGTTGACTCTGAATTCAGGGATGTGCATCCAAGCAGGGCCAAGACACCTTTCAGCCACTCCTTCACTTCCCCCTGAAGATCCCTAAGGAAATGTTATCCCACAGTTGGGGTCCAGCATGGACATAGTGTAGGTTTGATAGGGCAGGCAGCCATCAGTGGTGTTATCTCCCTTCTGCATGGAGGCCCCTTCCAGAGCAAGGCTTTCACTTGGCACACAGCACTGAACTCGAGATGTGAAAGGAGCAGAGTGTGTGGGAGCTGCTGATTTTGTCTCCTTGGTGGGACTGTTTTTTTTAATAAAAGTATCAGATGTTGCGCTTCCTTGAAAACATGACAGTCTATGGGAGAGTTCATTAGTTTATGGCAAGTTGCAGCACTGTGGAGCCTGGCTGAAAGCAAATGTTATTGCAAAGAGTTATCACTAAGGGGAGAGGAAAACAATGTCCTGAGGAAATAAACTCGACAGAGCAAATCACTGAGCAATATAAAGCTGTGCATACAGGCAGTAGAGCGGAATTCTTTCTCAGAATGAAAGGCCCCAGTCACCTGTTTTTAATGCCAGTGTTTACTTTCTGCATATTCAGTGAATACGTGGGATACATCTGTGCAGAACTCTGTCTCTAATGGGAGTAACAAGTATCATGATTGCAGCTGGCTGAACTTATTTACTACTAGTACACAAAAATGTCTTTGGGGCCATCATTAAACAGTGATAACACCAGTAAAATACCAGGAAACATCCGTTTTGTGTTGGTTGTTGGGATTTTTTGGTTAGAAAATTGTGTGTTTTAATTTCATGTTTTATTAAATGTTTCAGAAAGTATTCTTTCCTCAAAGGCCCCTATCAAAATGCAGAGTGAAGCCTTAGTGATGGTCAGCTATACCAATGACCAGCCTCTCTCAAGTCTGAGCAAAGCTGGAGGTGCAAGGGGAGAGGAAATACCAGTTTTCATTCATCTCACATAGCTGTACACTGCCACTCTTCTTGACCTTCAGTTAATCTAATTCACACCAAGGACTGAAACCGTAGCATCAGATTTGGAGGTGTGTAAAGGTGAATTGAAAATAAGCCATCACTTTCCTTGCTGAGTCTGATGGCACTTGCAACATTGCAGTGCACTCCAGTTCTGCATTATCAGGGTTTTTCTTGTGCCTTCCATTTTTATTTCCTAACTGGAGAATTTGCTGCAGCTTTGTTCTTATTTAGCCTCATGGTAGGATGCACAAGTTTCTCCTTCAGGCAGTGGGATCCTGTGCCTGCTCCCAACCCAGCTGCCTACACCGAGCCAATGTGGGGCTCTGGTAGCCCTCAGAGCTTTCTGAGAATGGTAATTTCTTCCTTTATTTTGGCTGTATTAAATCAATATGACATAGATTGTCACAACCAGCCCTGCAGCCCTGTATCCTGGGGTGGGCAGTGCTGCTTAGCCTGGGAGGAAAGGTTTGCTCTGCTGCTCTGGCTTGCCCTTGGACCTGCACAGCTCCTTTCTGTAAATGCCTGTGAAATGGAGGGTGACTCTTCATTTGTCTTTTTCCTTCCCTCATCCTCTCACTGTTTGACCCAGTGTTCCTAAATTTTGCATGCATTGGTGTTGGGCTGCAATCCCAACAGAGCCCCTGCCTGAGGAGCGAGCTGGCATTTTGGTGGCACGACAACCTCTGGCTTTAGCCCTGGTGACCTCAGAAATAAGAGGCCAACTTCTTGAATGGGCTGCCTGAGGAGCCTGGGATAGGTCAGAGATTTCTTGGGCAGATCAAAAGCCGGAGATGCTTTTCTGACAGCCCTGGAGCTCCCTGTCCTGATTTATGAATTCTATACACTCTATATATTTAGCTGAAGAGGCTCACTGGGGGAGCAGTTTTTGCAAGCAGGAAAGAGAATGTGGCTTCATAAAGTCACCATCTATCAGGAGATTACCCTCAAATGCACTCTCTGTAGAGCCATCAACCATGGCAAAAGGAGCCCAGGAGACTTGGCAAAAAAAGTCAGGATCTTTCAGCTAACCAGCATTTCTAACAGGAGACCTAGCTATGGGGAAGCAAACTCAAACCCCAGGAACTGGGAGCTCTGCACTTGGGGTAGCAGAACTTCAACTTCACCTCATTTCAAAAATCTTCTCTTTCTTTGGAACCTCGCCAGAGCCCAAGGGGTACATCTTGCTCTTCCTTGGTAAGTGCCACGTGCTTTGGCAGATTTGGAGTTTCATATCCTCTTTTGGAGGCTGGATGCACAAAGGCTCTGCCAGGCTCCTGGGGCTCTTACAGCCCTGAGAGCTGCTGTCACACCAGTGACACTTAGCTCAAGTTATTGGTGCAGTCTCCACAGGTTGGAGGTTGTGATGCTCTGCTGTCACCCCTGTGAGATGAGACTGAGCTCAGCCCCTTGCCTGTCTGGATGTGAGCCCTGTTCCTGACAGATGGAGCACAAGGGATAATTTCCCAATATTCATAGAAAACAGGGCAGGAAAACTCCCAATTCCTACTTCTGAGGGCAGAGTGTTTCCATGTGCACAATACAGTAATCCTGATATCAAACCTGTAGTTTCTGTATAGCTTATGGACTTCCAAGCTGGTAGTCTTGCAATCTTGAAGGCTTTGAGCAACACATACCCACCACATCCCAAGCCTGAGGAAGTGCCTGCTGGAACAACTTTGCTGTGCTGTGCCCCATTTCAGCTTCCAGTGTGCACATCTTGTTTTATCTCTGTTCCACAGAAGAGGAAGCCCTCTACCAGAAAAGGTTTTCCCAGGACCTGGCTGTAGATGACCAGCTCACCTCCCAGCTCTCTCCTGGCCAACCTAAAGACCCTGAAAGCCTCCAGCTCCACCCCCTCTATGACAGTTTTCCAGTCTGAATGATCCTCATTTTTTTTTTGTGCAGTTAAGTCCAGGATTGCACCAGCTCTCTGTTCTGGAAGGATTTTCTGCCCACCTGTGTGAGGGTTTGTGTTCGCAGTGGTGAAACCACAGCTCCTGTCTTCACCTTCTGCTGAGAAAGCCATGTAAAATTGCTGCCCTTCAGCAGGCACTGCCATTGAGGAGAAGTTTAAGGGTGAATATCCAGAGATATCCATTAAGGGTGGATATTTTGAAGCCTTGGTAGGGCTGGCCATGGAGAATTAAGGAAATCCAGTAGCTGAATTTCAGTGTTCTGGGCCATGTTCTCTATGACAAGTCTTAAATCTCTGTGCTAAGAGGATCAAATTTGCTGCTGCCACCAAGCCAGAGCTGTCACTCTTCAAAGACAGGCTTGATGAGTGGTATGATCTGTTGCTTGAAGAACAGCTGATTGTGCATGTTCTGTCAATTTGGGGAATTTGAGGACCTAGCTCTTCCCTTCTCTTTTAATGTCAATGTGAAGTGGCCTCCTTGGGTACTTTTACTCTCTCAGAATGACTGAAGGGTCAATCTTTACACTAAATGCAAAGGAAGTGGATGTAGTCCCAGAAAACATCTATCATTGGTGAGCTGAATCACAGATAACAAGCCTTGGCTTATTTTTTTTACCCTGTGCAGAGGCAAATTTTGTCATCATATCGCTCATATAACCTTTCAGATGAACTTAGTAATGGTGATATGTTTTGGTTTGGCTTCTTGCAGATGAAAACCTTGCCTTTTAGAAAAGGGAAACCATAAGTTAAATGACTCCAAAATTAGGTACTTCTGAAGGATAGTTAGTGGTCTTCCTTCTTACCAAAAACAACCTAAGAATGTGCTTTAAATAATAACTTGTAGTAACTCCTGCTCCAAATGTGATTAAGTTAGCAGGATGTTATCAATATAGCATCCTACATTTCAAAGCACACTTTGGGGTATTATCTACAAAAATTAATACTATAGATCTCCATAACTTTGAAAAATCAATCAGATACTATGTCCTAAATGTCCCCATCTGGTTCTCTCTGCTTCAACAGTTGCACCCATGGTTTTGTTTGCCTATACACAAATTACTGACCAATAATTCTTTTATTCCCTGGTCTTGTAGATAGGGGGACCCATGTAAAGTGAACGCAGATACAGATCCCTACCCCCAGTGATTTCATTTGGATGCAAAAATACTGGAATTATAGTCCTCCTCCATCACTTTGACCAAAAAGTGACTTTGGTTGTATTGGAATTTCTACATCATGGGCAACAGGTCTGTGTTTGTAAGAGTTCACTTTTTAAAGTAGTGTCCATGCAAATATATAAATATAAGCTTTGTAGGGATATATGCCTGTATACACATACACAGACTCTGTATATACAGAAAGACGCACACACACATACTTAGGAGATGTGTATATAACACTCACTTATACACAAATCCATTCCCTGTTATGAAACAATCATCAAGATATAAACAAGAAAAAGTTAAACCTCGGATGGGCACATTTTCAAGTGCTGCTGGAGAGTTTTATCTACAGTACTGAAGAAGTGCTATCAAAACTGAAACAGGGCACTTATTACAAAGAGATCTTTACGTAAGTGCTGGAAAGATTTGCCGAATAACCAGATGTTGTTGCAAAGACATTTCTCCTCCCCCTCTCCCACTTCTTTCCTCCTTTAATAGTTCGATTAATTCTGCGCATAGACCAGGGCTGATAAAAGTTCTAAGCTGCAAACTTCACCACATCTGGACGCTGTCGGAGCCAGATCGTTCAGCCATCGTGCGCTTCAGTTGCTTTTAATCTCCCTCAATAAAATAAAAACTTCCAACGAGTAATGCTGACCTATATATATTTTTGCACTGTAAACACTGACATCTGCAAGCTGCTCCAAGCCAGCACACAGCACTTTCCACCAGGCAACTGCTTGCCCCTCGCCATAGGAGAAATACACAGTCGTAGCAGAGTATTCAACTAAACTCTCTGCTATTTCCAATCCTCTGGCTAATTGCTGTCAGGGGAGAAATCAAAGATTAGCTGTTTTGCTGGAGGAAGGAAAAATAAACGACCTCTCTGAGTATGTTGCTTAAAACATTGCCTGACCAGAAACACTTTTCTACTCACACAAGGAGAGCAGCAGTAGGGGAAGCAGACCGGGTCTCCTCCAGTGCCCCATTTCTGGATGCCCTGGCAGCAGCAGGCAGGCTCACGGCGGTGACCGGCTCATCCTCCTCGGGGCAGCGGTCTGAGCGAGGCTCCTGCTGTCAGCGGAGCCCCTCTCTGCGAGGCTCCGGCTCGGGAAGGCGGATCCAGCGCTGAGCCCAGCTGTGCGTGGGGTCCGCCCAGGAACTGCAGTTTATGAACAAGCTGAGCCCGACTCTCCTCTCGGAATATATACAAATATGAGCGGGGGGGCTGGGGGAAGGAGCCGGGCTCTGAGAAAAGGAGTTTGAGTTTTTTTTTCTCCCCCGATGTCAATGCAGAGCTGCTCCTGGCTCCGTACCAGCCCAAGGATCTTTGAAGGGGACCTAAAGCCTGCTGCATGCATCTAATCAAAAAGGCATGGGTACTCCTGCACGAGTCTTTCATCTGAGTAAAGCACGAAAGGTAATGCCTCAATATGCCGAGCTGCCATTAATTCACTACTTTCCTCCTGTGTTTTAGAAATGATCTTTTAAATAAGCTTCAACGGGCTATATTTCTAATAGGGATAATTAAAAGTTTTAGGGCAGCTTTTTCAGAAAGACCACATCAATGTGAGCTTAGCCTAAAATAGGTGCTTGCAACCCATTAAAGCAGCAGGATTTAAATGTATATGTTTTCCTGAATCAGGGCCTAAAATAATAACATAGGGCATTTAAATATCTGCTTTCTGCCCAAGATCTCCAACTGCTCTGCAAAAACCAGTAAGAAATATTATCCCACTTACAAAAGGGAAACTGTGAAATGTAGCAGAATTCTGACTTACCTTAGTTGTTTACGCAATAGATCAGTGGCAAAAGGAAGAGTAAAATCCTCAAACTCTTGCCCTGTGATCTATCCCAATCCTTCAGATCAATGTATTTGAGTGTGGCAGAGAAAGAGATGCTGTTATTAAGGTTTTTGCAGCCAAAAAATAATATCTTATAGTTACTGAAGATACATTGATTAATTCTAATGCATACACTGTATTCTAATTCAGTGAATGTCCAGATTTTTATTTATCCATTTTACAATTTATTTTTTGATTCATTAATCAGTTTGAGGTGCATATGTAGTGTACCTATTGTGTGTGTATTCATTATGGTGAATATTTTCCTCCATTGGACTTGAAGGCCCTTTCTTTGTATCCATCTTGCTGATGATTTGCGCCCACTTGTTTTGTAAACTATTTATTTAAATGATTCTGTTAGGATGTTAAATAATGGTGTCTTCTTTTCCCATCCTCTGGGTTTAAAAAGGAAGAAGAGGAGATGTTAGATGTGGTACAGGCACAGCTGATAAACACAAAGTGCATCTCCTGTGCCATGGTGACACACACATGCCGAGGGTTGCTTGGTCTGCTCTGACTTGCTCCAGGGTGTCCAGATGCAGGTCAGCTCAGCCTGACCATGGGGAAATCCCTGCATGTCCCTGGTGTAGGCTGCCACAGATCAAACACAGCCTCTGAGGACTAAGAATGAGCAAACATTCAGAAATATGTCATTTTCCAACAAACATACTGAAACTGCTCATACTGGAACTGCTTTGTGCACAGTGGTCTCTTAGAGTGACCTGCCAAGTCTCCTCTCTCAGATTCAGAACATTTCAAAATGCCCACGGATTTCTCAGACTGCCAGTTGGATTTTCAGATGTGAACTCTTGTGTGTGTTACAGGACAACAGGGTAAGGCTTGTGTTAGCAACATCACGGGTTATTCATGATCCATGGGAGCCCCCTTTAAAGCCAGGAAGAAACCCCTGCTGCCTATGAAACTTGGAGAGAAATAATGTCCCCAGCAGGAGTCCAGAGGGCTTTAAACAATGGTGGACATTGACAAAACATGCTGTAGGATTTGGAAGTGCAGGAGAAGCATGGGGTATTATTTTTTCTAGCAGCAGAACCTGGGAAGGCAGCAGGATGCCTGCACAATATCACTGCAGCCAGAGACCCTGAGCTGCAGGATCTGCATTTTCCAGAATTCCAGGCAATCCCAAACAACTTCTGAGCCAAACTGAACCCTATAAAATGCTTTGTCCTGTCTGCAGAATAATCTTAGGGGGAGACTTGGGGCCAGATCTCACTGAAAAGAGAGCAAAGGCAGAAGCTGTCCCATGCAATGGCATCTTTACAAGGCAGTTGGATATCTACAGGAAGCTCTGCAAGAGAAAATTTTTGGGGAGTAATGCATGTCCTGCTCTTCCTAAACAGGCGTTTTTTAGGTGAGCAGCTTTTAGGTGGTGTTAGACCTTTTTCTTGGCAAAACAAGCTGCCATGATGACATGGGCAGAGGTTTGCTTTCCTAAACTGGGCACTGCCAGCTGCTTTCTGTGCAGGGGAAGCCTGCCTGTCTGTTCAGCCCTTGTGTGAGATTGCAGGGAGCTGGGTGTACCCTCCAGCAACCTGCACTTTTAGTCCACTGAGCTAAGGCAGGTAAGCTTTGTCTGAAGAAGAGGAGGGAAGAGAGGCTGGCACTATGCCATGAGTCACCCCAGATCAACAGGGGAGCCCCTCACCATGTGCTCCACTGGCCTGACTACCTGCTCTGTTCTGGAGAACCTGGTTATTTCTTAGACCTTATCCAAGGAAAAAAAATGAACTAAAAATCCACCAAAGTTACTTGGGGAAAAGTGAGTACTCTGGGGTTTAGCTTAAAGTGCCTAAATTCACATTATACAGCTTTGCTTCCATGAAAGAACACAGTGACCTTTTGAGTAAGACACTGGGGAGGAAGAAGAGATAAATGGTTATTTTTATTGTTGGCTTGTTTATTCCTTTTGGTGTAAATTCCCCTGCTCCTCTATTAGTGGTCTGGACAGCCTCATAACTCAAGACACACTGAAGGCTGGATTTAAGCTGAGGAACATAGGGTCTCTGCAGGGTGATTTTTAAGTTGCATTGTGGGAGCAGATTTCCCAAAGTTCTCATTTAGGAGCTGGAAGATATTTACTAGAGAAGTAAAATAAAACTTTGGACACCTGAAACAATATAGCATATGTTTAAAGGAGGGTTTCAAACAGCCTGGGCTCCCACTGTGGGAGGCGAGGCTCAGCAATCAAGCAATAGATTTGAAGCTGCCAACATGGGCACTAAATACCCCTGCACAGGGTAACCTCAGGGTGGACATGTGCCAGGCCCAGGGACTCAAACCTGTTATTATTGCCAGGGATCAAAATCACCTTCTTGTGGCAGGAAATGTGAAGGGAGAGAAAGAAGGGAGCCATGTAACCATGCCCCAGACAGTGCTAATGGAAAGGCCAATGCTCCCGAGCTCCTCTGGAGCTCCTCCATGCTTTCAGGCCCCAGAGATCCTAGCAGGGTTTAAGATGACTGATTTCAGCAAAAGGTGTTAGGTTTACTTGTGCAATCAGGATATATCCTTCTGGTCCTCTTGATTGCCTGCACATTGCACTACTGGACTGATATCTCTTGCATCTGCATTGATCTTTTTAATCTGTTTATATCAGTAGTGTTGTCAGGCTTTGGATGAGGTCTGTGAATCTTTGTTGTTAGGACAATTTGTTTTATACTTAAAGTATTAAAAGACAGGTCTAAAGAAAACACCTAGCTGATGGGATCAAGACTTAACTTCTACTAATGAGCACAAATTCATGAGTATAGATTTGTTTTTATGTTGTGTGCTCATATTGTACTACCCCCAACTTGTCCAGGCAGTTAATTTGACCCCAGAAATGTCATCACTTCTGCATCTTATAAGCATGACCTTGGTTTCACTGTGCCATCAGCAGTGGCTCCCTGAGAAAGATGTGCACCTCGCAGTGTGGATCCAATCCAGCCTCTGTCTCCACTCTGCATTCACAAGGACACTGGCCTCAGTCCTCAGAGTGTCGACTAAATTTAAATGTCATTGCCTGGTGGCACTGAGGGTGCCCATCAGTCTCTGGGAAAAGTTCTCATTACCTTGCCCTGTCTCAGTTTCACAGGGTTTTGATGTTTGGGATCTTGGACGTGGTGCTATGGCTTGTGGTCCCTGCTACCACCTAAGGAAAAATACCATGATGGCCTTTGACATTTTCCATTCCCCTGCTACAGCTTGTCCCAGCAGTGGTGTGGTAACCTTTGATGATCTGATGGCATGAGGAGTCAATCAAAGCCATCTTGAGGGACACAGCCATTCCTCCTTTGGGCACAGGTGGCCTTGTCTGCTGTGCCACAACCCCTTCTCCTGTGCCCTGCCAACGTTCCTGCACTCCAGCCACTCAGCTAATGCTCATTTTGGTAACCACACAGGATAATTGCTTTTTCTTACTGATGTCTGACTTTCATTGGAGTCTTTGCATGTTGCAGATGCACTGGCCTAAGTTCTAACTTCTCACAAACTGTATGTAACAGCTTCCTTCACCAAAGCTGCACCAATATTAAGTGGAGGTCTATCAGTCTCTACCATTTACAATGTTATTGAGTCATCTTGTTTTTTTTCTCTTCAATTCTGTCACACATCATCTGACTTTCTTCCTTTGAAGTTTTCTCATGACTTACTTTGAGCTGCTTTTGAAGCCACTTTCAATACACTTTCATTCACTGTTGATGTGTTGTACGTATTCTTTCAAAAATGTGGATTAGCTTTGGTTTTCTTGTTTTTATTTGTGGACTGAGATATGCTGTTGCTGAAAGGGATGGAAACCACTGCTACCAATTTCAGACTCAGTGAAACTGAATGATTTTCCCCACCCCAAGAGTCACCCATATCTCTTTTCCACTCTTTCTCTGGAAAATTAACAAAATGCTGATTTTCCTACACCTTAGTACTCATTTCACTCAGATATTTAGATGATAGAAATACATCAATGAGGAGCCTGAACTCACCCACTTTTCTGCCTGCACTCTGCCATGCTGAAGCAGCTACTTGTGCCTTTTACTGACAGTTCCTTGACATTAATTCCTCTTGTGTATTTTCCTAGGGATCCTAAGCAATCAGTGTTTTCTGCTGCATCCACCACACCCCAAGGACATCACACAGAGACAGATGCCAGGCTCTTCAGTGAGGATCAGCCTTTGAAGACCAACAGCACAGCCTGGCATCACTTCGGCTGCCGGGTGCCCCTGGAGAGCAAAACCTTCAGTTCTGGAGGAATTACTCTGTAGAGGGAAATAGGAGCAGTTTGACAGCCTGACTCATGATCTTTGTATTATTATTACTGGTAGTGAAACTATGATAGGATCCAGGAGCCTGAACCATGGATCAGGAATGTGCTTTTGAAGAGAAACTCCTGGCCTTGCTGCTTTGGCTTGTGTTACAAGGCAGTCTTAAGGCAGGCACACATGGGGGTTTTTTTCAATAGCAGCTAAACTGGAAGCTGTGAAGGGTGGCCAGTCCCCGGGAGTGGGCTAGAGGCACCCTAAAGTTATCAGCTAAAATATGTGTGGTGTGGATGGTGGGTTCTCAGCTCCATGAATCCATTCTGTCCTGAACCTCCCTGCTTTGGAGCACTGGCACAGCCAGCTCCTGCACAGGATATGCAGTCAGCAGGAATATTGGCTGGTTTACTCTCTCTTCCTGAGGTTACTGAAAGGCTGAGGGTGTCGCAGGATAGATGCAAAGCAGAGCCACTGCTTTAGGTGTTTTCATTCTGGTTCTCAGTAGCATGAGGGTTGTTGTTAGTAGTTTTATTATCTTTTAAATCTAATTACTTCTAGGAAGTTGAAAGATGAGGAACTCAAAATGAAGATACTGATGAATAATGGTGTGACAAAGGGGAAAATATCTGAAATATTTCTCATTAATATGGCTTTTTGTTGAGGTGTGTTATTTGCTAGAGCAACACAGGCTGTTAAAAAATCCAATAAGTACACATAAAACAAAAAACACCAGGAAACTAGTTTATAAGGTAATATAAGGTAATATAACTTTCTTCCATCAAAAAGCAGTTTATCCAGTATAACAGTAGGATTAAAACAAATAGATTTACATAATAGAAAAGATGGAGTTCCCTGTTTTCCAGAGACTGTCATGGGAATCAGGGGCAGCTTCAGAAGGGACTTGTAGGTAGGAAGTTGAGTGGAGTTTGCCTACTTTTAGTTGATGAACAAGGGACCTGCTGCCTAGTGAAGATGCTGAGCAGCAGGAGAGTGTGCTGGTTAGATTGACCTGCAGGAGGTTGGACTCACATCCTGACAAGAGGGGATCCAGGGGGACCCTGGGTACATGAGTGGTTGTGCCTAATTAGGGGGGAAGCATACCGCTTATTTTGACCAAAGTAGGCAAGTCCTGGAAGTTGTCCTGAGAGCAGCACTGTGCTGTGAGAAAATACTGTTATCCCACTTTGCAGGCTGAGGTAGGGGAATGTGGCTCAGGAAGAGGACTTTGGTGTTTATGGAAGATCTCTCCATTGCACATGTTTTTTTCAAGACATCTCACTCTCCTCTGAACTCTCCAGGCTGTAATGTACCTGAGGGCTACCCAGGCTCCCAGTCATCTTGATTTAAGCACTTCTACCACTACCCTCATCCTATATATGCAATGTTTTAACTCTTTTCCACATTTTTTAGTATATGAAGAAAATTTAAAGGTGAAAATAGTTTTTGAAATCATAGAATGCAAGACCTACAATATATTACTGTACTTTATTGATGATGTTTTTTTCCATAATAAAAATATTTAGTACAAAGTATGATATCCTGCATGAGTTTCATATAAATATTTCCATTATATAACTGATAGGGATCAGAAAAATTTAAGCATGCACATGCTGCAAATGCAAGTGTAATTGATACAAGGTATGTATCTTGATGTACATCTTGAGTAAACATAAGAAAACCATAGCTTAATGAAAAACAGACTGTGTCTTACAACATGCAATCGTGCTTTTACATCTGAACTGGACCTTGGGTTTAGAAAACAAATCTTAAATCAGTCCTATTCAGAGGACAAATCACAGTTCGCATACTTGTAAAAAACTTTTGTTTTAGGAAAGCCTTCTGTGGAAAAGCTTGGGAAACTCCATCCAGCTACGGTGGTGGAGGGGTGGGAAAGGATAGATTGAGGTATCAGTTCAAACAATCTGAGGAAAAAGTTGCATAAACATTGAAGACAACAGAATAGAAACCAGATGCCAAATATTAATTCATAGGGTCTTCAAAGGGGATTTTGAGATTTATTTTAATTGTTGTTGAAAGAAAAAGATTAATTTTTGGATGAAAAATGTATGCAAATTCATCTCTGGTCAACACTACAAAAACCCCATTTCCTACACAAAGCAGAAAAAAGCAAAGCAAAGAAACCCATAATATCAACTTTGTAATCCCCCAAAATGGCCTTTAACCTGGGTTTGAAAAGAGTAGGAAAAAAGCTACATAAGAATAATAAAGAATGTCGTGCCTGAATCAAAGGACATGAATCTGGTGCAAGAATGGGAAATCTCAGGGGCTGATGTGATATGTAAACCAGGGAACAATGACGCTGTTCCTGAGTGTCCAAAATGGTATTTGGAGAATGAGGAATAAATAGGACCAACCTCTTCATCCAGTCTGCCAGTCCCACAGGGACTGTGCAGGAACCACGGGATCACTAGGGAATAAACCCAATAGTGAAAATGTATATATGTATAAATCCACGGTGTGTGATGTTGTGTAGGGGCTGAAGGGTGGGCTTCCTGAACATCTCATCAAAAAGACAGACAGGGAATGACAGAAAGGCACAGGGGGGTTTTTTCCTGCTCAATGAGAAGAGATGAGATGGCTGGGGCTTTCATTAAATAACGTCAGATGCTTCCCCAGAGCTGAACTTGGCAGATTTTACCTACTCTAATCCTGAGGAAGTGTGGCAGGATGGGACATCCTTGGGTGTTCCTCAGCAGAGATGGTGGGCAGCAGAAAGCATCTCTGCATGTAGAGCACTGTTGGGAAAGAGCTGATGGAAAAGGCTGGCAGCCAGGAGGGTGAGGCAAAAGGAACACAGCACGACCGAGTCCTTCACTCCTACCAAAGGGGTGACTGGGGAAATAACAGGCTGGTGGGCTTTAAAAAAACAACCCGAGCTGCCTAATGCTAACAAACATCCTGTGGGAAAGTTAATGGCTGCTGAAAGAGACTCAGCAAAGGAAAGTGACGAATCTTGCTATAGATGAAAGATGAGAAAGTATCCGAAATATTTCCCGTTAGTATGGAATTTAATTTTTGTTTAAGGTGTGTTATTTGCTGTAACAACGCAGGGTGTCAAAAACCCCAACCAACCAACCAACCAATGAAAAAATAAACAGGAAAGGTGTGTGAAGCATGGCATGAGAAACTCTTCAGTGACCTGAGGACTAAAAGGGGAACAACGACACAAGCAAATTTTAGAAATAAACATTTAAAGCTGTAAGAGTGCGGCTGAGGGGCCGGGGGAAGCTTTGTCCCGGCCAGGGACAGGAGGCTCAAAGCTGCCTGTGGGGGAGCGGAGCACGGTCCCAGCGAGGGGTGCCCGTGCACAGGGGCACGAAGGAGCCCCTTCTGGGCACCAGGGCGGGCAGGACGCCCTCAGCGCCCCCGGGTCGAGCCCGTGCACGGGCACGGGCGCGGCGAGGGCGGTGAGGGCCGTGCCCGCCGGGCTCGCCCCCGCCCGCAGCCCGCGGACACACCCCGACCCGGCCCGGCCCGGCTCCGGGAGCGGCCATGGCTCGGCCGGAGCCCGGCTCAGCGCCTGCGCGCAGCGCCGCGGCCGAGCCCCCGAGCCCCATGGAGAGCACCGAGCCCGAGCCGAGCGGCAGCCGCCCGGAGGAGGAGGAAGAGGAGGAGGAAGAGGAGGAAGAAGAAGAGGAGGAGGAAGACGAGGGCGCCCTGCCGGGCCCGGAGCAGCCCTTGGCCGCGGTGAGGGTGCGGAGGGCGGTGGCGGAGGGGCAGCGTCCCCCTCCCCGCGCTCTCGGCCTGCTCCGCCGGGCGAGCACCGGGCTTTCCTGAGCGCGCTGCCCGCGCCGGGCGGGGAGGGTGGCGGGGCTCGGGGGGCCGGGCGCTCGCTCGGCGCTGCCCGCCGCGGCGGGAAGGGGCTACAGGTGGGTCCAGCCCTTCCTTCGCTGCCTGGGGCCGAGCCCTGCTCGGCGGAGCGCGGGGCAGAGCTGTGCAGCGTGACCCTCTGAGCTGCGGGGTTCTCTTCGCAGCCCCGTCCTGGCCGCTGTGAGAGAGCGTTGTGCACCCTCTGCCCTGGTCCCTAACGTCAGATTATTGTTTATTATTATCAGTTATGGTTTTATCTTCCCCTCCCCCCTTAATTTCACAAGTGACTCCCCCTCCCTGCTCGGTGCAGCTCTGCCTTTTCATGGTGGGCGTGTGGTCCTTACTGATTTCTGGCGGCCAGTGTGTAAAAGATAACGATCCTCCTCTGAGAGATTAAAAGAAAAACATCTTGGTCCGGATATATTCTGTTTCCTGTGAAAGGGGAGAGGTGGCTACATGTGTCCCGAGTGTCCTGAAGAGGAATTCACTGGTAGCTGGGAAGTGTTTGGATAGAAAATACTGGGGTTAGTGTGTTTGTTTTTTAAAAAAAGGTTACTTTGTTACCTGTAAAAAAAAAATATTTCTCGTTTCTGTATCCTCCTGGCTCAGGGTGGTTTTTGGTACCTGAAGTTGTCCGTTTGTTGACTTTTCTGTTTTCTCCCTAAAGGAGGTTTCCAGTTTTCACTTGCAAATGTGATACAGAACATAGGTATAAAGCAAAGCCCTGTCAAAGCCTTTATTCCACAGAGGCTTGTCTTATTTGAACAAATGTGGTGTAGGAGAAGGGGAGGCAAGGTTAGTAGCCTTTGCTTTGTGTGGTTAATGTTACATGAATCTTTATTTTCCTCTTCTTAAAAGATGGAAGACTGTTTGGCAAAGAAAATGGAAATCACGGTTTCAGAAGCTGAAAAACGGACTGGGAGGAATGCCATGAACATACAAGAAACATACACTGCTTACCTCATTGAGACTAGGTGGGTGATGAGAGCTCAGTCTCAAGCGTACATGGATGTGCCATTCTAAACAGATTTTCCCTCCTTCCACCCCTAAAAATAATCAGGTACAGTTGATGAGAGGATTTAGCTGTTTTGTGCTTTGTTACGTGGTTATCAACCCACTCTGGAGGATCTTTTCCTGTGAAAATTTGGCAGCTGATTTCCAGTTCAGTACTAGTGTTGGTTTTGTGTATTTGTGTACTGTTATTCTTCATTTGGAGCTAGGTGGAAAAATGTGTGTTTGAAAGTTGTTGCATTGAAATGGTGCCAGCAACTGCTTGGTTATTTTGTGGACATAAGTTGGACACATTTATGCATGTATTTGTGAGAGAGGTCTAAAGTAACTGTTAGGCTTGCTTGAGATGACAAGAAAGAGAGAAGTCTCATGACTTATGTCATGTGGTCAAAATTTATTGCTCAGCTTATATTTGAAGTGTTTTGCTTGATCTGATTACCACATACTCCTTGTAGATGGTTTAAGGGTTAGAGTTAGCTAACTATTTCCTTTTTTCATGCTAGCTTGAACTTTCACTGGGGAACTTACTGCTCTTAATCTTCTTGTGTTAACAAGAGGAACACTACTGGTGTCATAAACATTCTCAGTACCACAAGCACAAAATTTCAAGTAATGAATAGTAGCAAAACTTTAAAATCTAACTTATCCTTACTTCCCAAACAGTAACAGATGACTCCTTTTAAGTGGGGTCATGTTACTCAGCTGAAGCAAGAATTTCAAAATTAGACTTTGTTATGAGTTTTGTTTAGCTCTTCTTTATACTACCAGTTTTAACCTTTGGGCCTTGACTTTGGAATTATCTTCTGTACAAAGAAAACCTTTTGAAACAAAGCAGTTGCGTTTTGCAAAGGCTCTGAAGAGTTCAAATTGTAAAACTGACACATAAGCCTTGTATCTGCTAGCAAAAAGGCCTCTTAGCTTGTTTAGCTGATGGACACACCAGTCACACTGATTGCAGGCCTGCTGGGATAAGTTTGCTGTATTTTGCTAAACTTAAAGAACAAAGTCCAAAACAGACATATATTTTTCAAATATCGTAGCTCTTTGACAGTTGCTCAGATGCTTAAAAATACCTTTACAGTGTATTGATGTTAAAGATCACACCTTCTCATGTAAGTAATGTTGTTTTTATTGTAATGATATTTCTGAAGGAAAAGAGAAGAAAATTGGAATCATTGGGGCCTGACTGTGATATGAAGTGTGCTCTGGGGGCAGATTTATGCAGCCCCAGAACATGCTGACTGCATCTCCTTTTCCAGTCATCCTTGCATTACTTTAGAGTTGCTCCCACTGCTCTTTCCCAGTTGTTCTTTCATAGTGGCAAAGCTGTACTTTGCTGGCCAGATTGTGTTCTTTCATTAGGATTTATTTTACTCTGTGGTCAGCAAATACCGAGACCAATTACATGTTTGTCACAGAGCGATTTGAAAATGTGTGTTTGTCACATCTGTAATAAAATAGGTTCTCTATTCCTTTTGCTGAGAAGGCAGAACTTCTTGCATAAATATAATTGGTGGCTATTAAATGTGCTTCCTGCTGAGCCTGTAGCTGTAGGTGGGCTTCACAGTAATTTGTCTGGGTAATAAGATATTTTGTAGCTGAAGAATAAAACTGTTTATAGTAATGTAAAGGGAAGACCACTTAATAATAGTTGCATTATGTTTATGTGAACTGGGGTCCCACCATTACT